GGGATTCAGTTTCATTTTGTTGCATATGGATTTCCAGTTTTCCCAGCACCATTTGTTGAAGATGCTATCCTTCCTCCATTGCATGCTTTTAGCCCCWTTATCAAATATAAGAAAGTTGTAATTTTTAAAAAATGTTTAAATATGTCCTTTACTTTATTGTTTTAATTWTATAAATAACATTTCAAATAAGATTATGGAAACAAATAATTAAAATAAATTTATATATTTTGGTATAGAAATGAATATAGTATTTTTAAGAAACAATGTTTAAAGGAGAACTTGTTTATACTTTCTAGATCTGTCATTATTTTATTGTACTTACAGGTACTTTCTTCTATTATCCAACAAACATTTCTCCCTTAGCTCTAATGTACTAAGCATATAAGAGATGGAGAAGAGGAAGAAAATAATTTAAATTGACATTAAGGCTAGGGTTCTTTCTACATTGAAGAGTTTAACCCTTTAACCATACTCAATCTTTGTGTGTTTTTTGTTTGTTTTTTGTAGCTTTTGATGGTTGGAAGAAAAAATACTTGGAAACAAAAAAAGTCACCACATCACTGGAAGAGGTTTTAACAAAACTTCGAGATGATTTGGAACTCTATTATAAAAAACTACTCATGCAACTTGAAGCCAGGGAGATCAAGATGAGACCAAAGAATTTGGCAAATATCACAGACTCTAAGGTACTAAATGTGTCCCACTTCCACAATTACATTTATAATTGCTCATATTGTTGTATTTAGGATGCTTTGGGCTACAGGTAACAAAACTTTGACTTAAATTTTCTCGATAACAAAATTCATGGGCTGGGGATGTGGCTCAAGCGGTAGCTCACTCGCCTGGCATGTGTGCGCCGGGTTCGATCCTAAGCACCACATACAAACAAAGATGTTGTGTCCGCCAAAAACTAAAAAAAAAAAAAAAAAAAAAAAAAAAAAAATTAAAAAATTATAATTCATGACCTCATGTAATAGGAGGAGGGCTGTTATGGAGATATAGTCAGCATATTAAAAATGTTTTTAAAGGGTCTACATGCTTCTGATATTTCCTCCCTATTACTTTTAGTGTTGGCTTCACCATTAGACTGCTTTTTCTAATAGTAGCAATAGTGTTGCCAATGACAAGTAGGGCTATCTATCTTCAGAACAGGAGAGAAACCTATACCTGAACCACAGAATATATAAACCTTGAAACAAACAAGCCTAACTGTGGTTCAATAATAATTGTCAAGGAGTACTATGCATTGCCTTAGACTAATAGGGCCATGTTTCTTGATTCCATGGCAAAGAGATAATTACCTGATAAAGTAGGGTAAAGAAAAAAATAGTATTTACTATACTGCTTTTTCTTGGACTTTAAAAATACTTTAATGAAATTTTCACCAATTCATTTTTCTTGAGATAGTCTTGAATCTTACTTAGATCAGAYATGAAATTTATTATTGAGTAATTCTACCATATAATTAAATAACAGACAAAAAATTCCAGGTCATTTAACAATTTTATTTTTGTTATATTGATCATATTTACCCAAATGATTTTAAAATATGTTAATTATGATTAAGAGTAAAATTTAACTTCAGGGATGATAAAATATTAAAAGTTTACTATTTTTGATAAATTTAATATAACATCCAAAATAGGCTTAAATAATTATTTGGCCATATTAGTAGACTTTTTTTTAAGCACAGCTGATACTTTTTGTTTTATTGGATGTTCAAAACATTACAAAGCTCTTGACATATCATATTTCATACATTAGATTGAAGTGGGTTATGAACTCCCATTTTTACCCCAAATACAAATTGCAGAATCACATCGGTTACACATCCACATTTTTACATAATGCCCTATTAGTAACTGTTGTATTCTGCTACCTTTCCTACATGATACTT